TTGCCTCTAACATTTCATGATTTAATCTTACCTGAAGTATATCCACCATATACTGATTTGTTAGAAATACAACCTCTGCCAATAAAAGCATTGAAAGAACCATTATTTGAAAAACTTTATAAATTTTCTCATTTTAATCCAATACAGACACAAATTTTTCATTGTTTATATCATACAGACAATAACGTCCTGTTAGGAGCTCCAACTGGTTCGGGAAAAACAATTGCTGCGGAAATTGGAATGTTTAGGGTATTTAAACAATATCCAACACAAAAAATTGTATATATTGCACCATTAAAAGCCTTGGTCAGAGAGCGAATAAAGGATTGGAAAATTAGATTTGAAGAACAATTAGGAAAAAAAGTAGTAGAATTAACTGGAGATGTATCACCAGATATTAAAGTTATAGCAAATGCAAGTATTATTATAACTACACCAGAAAAATGGGATGGTATTAGTAGAAGTTGGCAAACAAGACTTTATGTTAAAAATGTTGCGCTTATTATTATAGATGAAATACATTTATTAGGGGAAGATCGTGGACCAGTATTAGAAGTTATTATTTCAAGAACTAATTTTATTCTAGTCATACTTTAAAAAAATTAAGAGTTATTGGACTTTCTACAGCATTAGCTAATGCAGTAGATTTAGCTAATTGGCTTGGTATTAAAGAGATGGGCCTTTATAATTTTCGTCCATCTGTACGACCTGTACCATTAGATATTCATATAACTGGATTTCCAGGAAAAAATTATTGTCCTCGAATGGCAACAATGAATAGACCAACTTTTCAAGCAATTAAACAACATGCCCCATCTAGTCCAACTTTAGTATTTGTTTCATCACGTAGACAAACACGTTTAACTGCATTAGATTTGATTGCATATCTTGCAGGAGAAGATAATCCTAAGCAATGGTTACATATGAAAGAAGAAGAAATGAACAATATTCTAAGTCATATACGAGATTCAAATTTGAAACTCACACTTGCTTTTGGAATTGGACTTCATCATGCTGGTTTTCAAGAAAAGGATAGAAAAATTGTCGAAGAATTATTTGTTAACAATAAAATTCAGGTATATGGTTTAATGGATATTGATTTTATTTTTGTTTAATTGTAAATATATTGAATATATTTATTTAATGATATTAAATAAATATATTCAATATAATAATTAATATAATAAAAAATTAATGAAATATAATAATAATATAATAATTAATGAAATTTTTTTATAAAAATTGTATCTTTTTCTAAATTTTGAATTATATAAATTACATAATTATAATACAATATAATTATCTAAAATTATAAAAATATGTTTAGGTATTGATTACAACAGCTACTTTAGCTTGGGGTGTTAATTTCCCTGCTCATTTAGTTGTAATAAAAGGAACAGAATATTATGATGGCAAACAACACCGTTATGTAGACATGCCAATTACGGATGTATTACAAATGATGGGTCGTGCAGGAAGGCCCCAGTTTGATAATTCAGGAGTAGCAGTAGTTTTAGTACATGATTTAAAAAAAAATTATTATAAGAAATTTTTACATCATCCATTCCCAGTAGAATCAAGTTTATTAGCTGTTCTGCCAGATCATATAAATGCTGAAATTGTAGCTAATACAATTAAAAATAAACAAGAATTATTAGATTACTTAACATGGACATATTTTTTTAGAAGATTAATGAAAAATCCTAGATATTACAATTTAACTGCTTTAGAACCTTATGCTATTAATCAATACTTATCTTCTTTGGTGGATAGCACATTAAAAGTATTAATAGATTCATATTGTGTGGCGTTTGATGAGGTAAATAAAATACAATTAAAATTTTATTTCTATATTTTATTTTATAATTAATAATTTTATTTCACGTTAAAATAATTTATAATTTATAATTTTAGGAAGAACAAATTTTATATCCACTTTCAATGGGTAAAATAGCATCATTTTATTACTTATCGCATCATACTATGTTAATGTTTATACAATCACTTCAGGAATCTCTTACATTGGAGCAATGTTTACATATTTTATGTAATTCTCATGAATATAATGAATTACCAGTAAGACACAATGAAGAATTATTAAACGAGTAAAGTATTATTTTTAATAATAAAAAGAAAAATATATTTCATTTTAATTAATATTAATATATGATAATTTTTATTCTAATTTTGGACAGGGAATTAAGTAAAATGTGCCGTTATCAAGTAGATAATTACTCATATAATTCTCCTCATACCAAAGCATTTTTATTACTTCAAGCACATTTCTCAAGACTTCCCTTACCTTGTGTAGATTATTTTACTGATTTAAAATCGGTTCTTGATCAGGCAGTTAGGATTATACAAGTATGTATAATTAAAAAAAAATATTATACTTTATATAAGATTATTTAAAAATTGTATATGTACAATTATATTTGCTAAATTATGCATAAATTATTAAGAAGACATAAAATTAAAAAATATTCTATATATATAATAATTAAAATATTTTTTAGGCAATGATAGATGCAGTTGCAGATCATGGATGGTTAGCAAATACAATTATGATAATGAATATACTTCAAATGATTGTCCAAGCTCGGTGGATTGATGAATCAGCAATTACTACATTGCCATGTATAAATTCAGAACATTTAGAATTATTTTCAACATTTACTCTTCCCGAATTATGTTTCAATATGTATAATAAAGATATTAGAATACTTAGAAAAGTACTTAATAAAAGTTTTTCGCAAGAACAAATACATCAGGTAAATATATTCAATTTTTAATATTATAAAACAATATTTCATAGAATAATTTTTATAATTTTTTTTTGTAATCTATTCATTAAGATGAATCAATTATGTATTTTCACATTTTATTGAAGTTTTATATAATTTCTATATTAGGAATGTATATATATATTTTTTAGATATATCAAGTGATAAAAGAAATGCCAATGCTCTGTATTAAGTTAAGCTTAGAAAGTTATGATGAAGATAATGATGATAATAAACAAAAAAATCAGATATTTATACCTCTAAAATCTGATAATTTTGATTATATAAGTATTCGCAAGGGTCAAGATTACATACTAAATGTTATAATGAAAAGAAAAAATAAATCTAATAATTTAAAAGCACACTGTCCTTTGTTTCAAAAAGGAAAGGATGAAGGTTGGTTTTTAGTTTTAGGTAATGTTTCTGATAAAGAATTATTAGTTTTAAAACGAGCATCTGCAATAAATGAACAACGGAAATATCAATTACAATTCACAGCTCCATCAAAACTAGGTAATTTTATTTTCATTTACATTTATGATTATTTATTTATGTATTATATGACAGTAATTATCTTATTTTTTTTTTTCACTAAAAATTTAATTTTTTTTAAGGACAAACAACTCTAACGTTTTATTTGATTTCCGACTGTTATTTGGGGCTAGATCAACAGTATGATATAAAAATAAATATAATACCTTAATATAAATTTTATTTTATTTAGCAAGTATGTTAGTTTCTTCAACGAGGTAAATATAAGCAAATTATTTTGATAAAATCTATTGTAATTTTATTAATTTATAAAGATATTTAATAGTTGTAAGTATATAAGATGTAATTAAATATATATATATTTAAATTCATTATTTTTTTTGGAAGTGCATATAAATTTACATATATATATTTATTATATATATATTTGTCTTATTTATTAGATGACTATGAAATTGTTTTATATTTTTTATACAAATGCATATCTTATCAATTTAGTGATATATAATACAAAGATAAAAAAAAATATCTCCAAAGGATCAGTTTTATAATTTCATATATTATGTATTACCAAATGCAATTTTATATAAAATAAAGAATTATAGATAAAATTATATCCAATGTTATGTTCATTTATTATAATTTATTTTATTATAAAACAAACTCATGTATAATTTAATACAAAAATGTTTTATTTTAATATTGATACTTTATTAAAAGTAAAAGAATATCAATAATAGTTACATATTATGTAAATATTTTTTTACACTGATCCTCCTTCACATTTATATTCTGATATTATAACAATACAATTTATAATTTCTTACACTAACGAGGAATAACAAGATAATAAAGGATAGGAAGGATATGAGATCATTTCATTGCTTTGTTTTAAAAAGAAAATGATTAAGTTGTATATGTGCTATTTATCTGTAATATTTTATTTAATATCGATCAATTGCAGATTGTTCATTCTAATGATCCAGAAGAGGTATATTTTAGCTCTAAATTTTTAACTTTAAGTTTACAATCCCTGAGATAAAAAATGCAATTTACATCAAAATATTTTTTATTTATTAATTTTCCTAATATTTATTGTCGTAATCAGGATAATAATAATAATAACAATCAAAAGTTAAATGTTATAAAATTATATATAAATAAAAATTTAGATTTCTATAAAAAATAAATATAAATAATAATTTTATACTAATATATTTTTAATTTACAATTAACATAGTCAAATATATCAAATATAATAAACATTCTGCTATATCTAAATTATAATTTATAAATTTAAATTAAATATTTCGATGCCTCTTAACGTTTTATAAACAAAATATAGTTATTCTTTTTTATTATATTTTTACTTACTTATTTCTTTAAAATTTCAAATTAATAACATCATATTAAAATAATATTAAATATTTTTCGTTATTTCTTTTACAATTTTTAAAGTTATAACAAAGTCAATCAGATAAATTGATAATTAAATATTTTTCTTTAATAAATTGAATTTTTCTCTTTTTCATCAATAGATTGAACCTTCTGCTTTTTTAATGTATATAAAATGCTCTTTATATATTTATTATTTTTGTAATTGCAATTGTAATTACTAATCAAAGCAAAGAAATACTTAAGCTCCTTCCATAATAGAAATTTGGAAGTACTGATTATTTCTTGTAAGTAATAAACCGAAATATTTTTAAAACAAAAAGTTTGATAATAGTACATTTCTATTCATCACATTCATTAACAAATTAATAATATTCTTTTTCAAACCATTGAGAAAATTCCATACCATATAATAGCAAATTGTAACTTGATTTTAAATGTTTTTTAAATATAAAACAAAATTTTAAAAAATTATAATTAATATTTTTTATGATTAATAGATTATTACTGCCGTTTTTTTTGTTTCTTTTTTTAAATATCTTTTTTTTTTTTTATTTTTTTAATACTTTCTTTCTTTCTGCAAATTCTTCGAGTAACAATGAAAATATATTGTATCACTCAAGAACTAAGGAAGCACTGGCATAACTAACAGAACTATCATTCATATTATTGCACTGGTTGCTTTGAACATATTTAAGAAACTTCAAATTCATTCTTTGACCATTAGTATTTCCTTTTAAACTATGAATTACCTGTTAAAAATATTGATCATAATTTCAAAAACTATACCTAATTTTATAAAGAAAATTTTTAAATTTATCATATTTTAAATATTAAAAGCTACATACACATATAGTAGATCAGAAAATATATCTATATTTGAGAGATATTTTTTTTCAATATAAAAAAATACAATTTTAGATTTTATTATATTATTTAAAAATATTCAAATTTATATAACAATATATTATAGCAATTGTATAACAATTATATAAGTTTTATTAAAAATTATTATTAAAATCATTTTTAATATAAATGTATTAAACAATAAACAAATCTAATTCTTATAGTAACAAATTTTACTAGATAATAATTTTATTATTATCTATATTAATTTTTCAAAATAACGATTATATAAAATTTCTATCACAATTTTTTATTAAAAATATATTCTTTTATTTGTCTTTTTTTGTGTCAAAATCTGTCAAAAATGTCAAAATTTAATGTATCATTATTTACATAATATTTTAACTAAATTGATTTAGCAATTTTTATAATTATATTATATCTAATATTTCTGAATATTTTACAAAAAATGCTTTTAATTTTTATAATTCATAGTTATAATTCATTTAATTTAATTTATAATTCATATATATAATGACTGGATTTAAGATGTTTTAATTTTATATTTTTTTAATATAATATTTTATATACATATCTTTCATATTCTTTTATCTTTTCACATTTTTTGATCCTAGGTGTATGCAACCTCATAATTTAAATGAATAAAACTCATTACCTGTAAAAGAATACTAATAGGATGTCGACCACATACTGTATTGCCATATTTTTTAAGGTAATCATTAAACATTGTGGGATTTAATGTTTCAATAATATCCATACCCTGTGAATTTTGAAAAAAAGTATGAAATTATTTATAATATGATATTATTTATGATCATTTATAATAATAAAATATGATCAAATCAGTTTCATTTATGTAATTATTAAATATATAAAATATTTATAAATAAATGACATTTTATGATCTTATGTACCATTTTGTCAAGATTTTGAATAGATCTATGAATAGGACCACAGGATCTATCATAATAGGTATAGCGAAATCGCTGACCCCAATGACAGAAATCTGAAGATATAACAAATAATGTCTGTGGATCAGCCATATATGGTGCTAATAATCTTCCATAAAGTGCTTCTTTTTCTGGACTTAATGAACCCACTAATATAGGAATTATTGTAAAAGAATCTTTAAACCTATATTAATATAAAGTTTAAAATTAAAAATTAAATTTAAATAATAAGTGAATTCTTATATAGCAATTATATAAATATAAAAAATACTATAAATATAATTATAAACATACCCTTCCATAACTTTTGCAATAAATGGCAATTGCATTTCAATACTATGTTCTTCTTCATCTGTGTTTAAATCCATCCATTCAAAATGTCTAGTTTCTTCAAGTTCTCTATACACTGTTATATGAATAAAAATCTATATTCAAACTAATCTATAATAATATTAATACTAATTTATATTCATAATTTAATACATTTTTTTTTAAATAATAATTTAATTCAAATTTTAATATATTATTTAATATATTATAGAATTTCTACCTTGCTGATCAATATGTAGATCATACAAAAGAGTTTGATAAATCGAAGCAGAGGAAAGAGCACAGCCTGCTAATCTGACATGATGTGATGGACCAAGAATAAAAATTCTACGCCTATATAATAATAATATATTTAATCTTTTATTTTAAATAAATGACATAAATTAAAAATATTAAAATAATTATTTTATTTTTATACATTTAATTCTTTACATGAATTTTTTTTCTAAATTTATAATAATCATGCAAATACTTGAAGAATTTTTTTTATTACAAAAAAGAGTTATATGCATATTATAATGTTTACTTATCTAAGTAAAAAAAAATTATTACAAAATATAATAAATATATAAACAATTCAAAAATTCCAAATGGAAATTTTTTAAGAGTTAAATATATTTTTTAATAATATTTTTTAATAATTTACAACTAATAATATATTAAATTATAAATTTGCATACATTATGTTATTAATTACATAATTAATATATTAAATTAATCTATCATTTATAATCATTTATATATTATATATAGAGAAAAATAAAAATATATCTCATCATAAAAATTTATTTAAATTTATTCATTAATCATCTAATAAAATAAAAATACTTTAAAAAATTATAAAAAAACTTAATATTTTCATGATTTGTGAATTATAAAATGAAATGATAATAATTGTGTAATAAGATTATTTAATTTTATATAATTTGAAATAATACATTTAAAATAATTAATGCATAAATTTATTTGCTTAAAAAGAAGAATTTTATTAAACTTTATAGAATATTAGTTTTATTTTATTAAATATTTTTTTATAAAACATCAAAAAAATATAAAAAAAACTTACACAACTACAGGACTAATCTGGCGGTATGCAAAAGCAGCACATGCTCCACAATAGCTGTAACCTGCATGTCTGTGAAATTTCATTTGTATTTCAATAAAGATTTTTTAATTTAATTAAAAATTATTCTAATGTACTATAATTACTGACGGGGCAATTATTGCCCTAGCAGGTCCATGTGATAAGTCTGCAGCATTTAACCAACCTTCTAATTGTTTATTCAATTCCAATCCTATGTATTTAAAAAAATATAATATTAATTAATTAGTAAAATGTAAACTTATTAATCAAAATTAATTTTTATTAATCTTTTAAATTCTCTATATTTAAAAAAATTTTTTTTTAATTTTATCTCTTTTTAATAACTATTTTAGACTTTTTGAAATATACTATAAAAAATAAAAAACCAATAGTTCATAAATTAACTCATAAAAATTAATTTATTAAACAATTTTTTTATTAATTATATTGAAAATAGTATTGAATCTTTATTCAAATCTGATCTGAATCTTGATTTGTATTTGTTAATTTATTACATATTTTTAAGCAGAAAATAAAATTTTAGATAAAATAGATTAAAAAAAACTATAAAAAAATATATGTAAAAAATATTTATTCATTTATATTTAATATATTTTGTAATGGCAATTTAAAAATATTTAATATAATTCAACTTAAAAATATCCAAGAATAAAATTAATATTGAGTCATATTCAATAAAAGAATTCAAAAGATTAATAACATTTTATATAATATTTTAAAATATTATAAAAATTCAACATTTAAGTTCAAAATTTAATATAATAAAATATATGATTAATTTTATAATTCTATAGTAAAAAATGTTTTTGGAAAAAAAATATTGTAATGTAATAATTATAATAATAAATATATATATAATATATATATAATATATATATAATAAAAATAATATAATAATCAATTACAATAAATAATACTTTCAGTTTCTAATTTATTATTTTTAAAAATTATATCTAATTTTTTATTTGATTTTTAATGATAAAAATGAATTTTTAATAAAAAACAATTTGATAAATTATTATATTATTTTTATAAAATAATAATATGTTTTCAATAATTAATATTTATTATATATTATTAAAAAAAATATTGTAAAAAAATAATATTTTAATATTTTAATAAAAGTATTTATTTAATATTTATTCTTTATTATCTTTTATTTAGAAAATTCATTGTATTATTTTGAGAATTAATTATAAATAGGAATATCTGGACTTGAATTTGAATATTTGACAAGAACACTTATTATTTTTGTATCTAAATAATATAAAAGTATATAAATAAAATATTAATAAATATATCATTTTTCTTGCATTCTTCAATATTAAGCTCTTTAAACTTAAATTTTTTATTTTTAATTTGAATTTAAATATATAATAAATAGCTTATATTTAAAGTAAATAATAAAATAATATATTGATTATTATGATACATCATCGCATTTGGATATTAAGATTGGATATCAAAAACTTAAAGATATTTAAATAAAATGAAAAAGTATATTAGGATCTTTAGATCTGAATGAAAAAATGTTATTAAAGAATGTTTGTTGATAATGATATATAAAAATCTATTTGATTTATGAAAACAGAAATAATGGATCTAAATAAATATTAATATAATTCTAGATTATAAACAAATAATTTATATTTTAAATCATAATAATCAGTTTCTTCTATGAGACTTATAACAAAGTATATTTAAAAAAAATTATTTTTTATTGCAATTTGAACAATATTTCAGACTTTAAATCTCAATTTCTATTATTTTTTATTTTAATAATTGATATTATTAAAGTTCATAAAAATTATGGAAATACATGATCGTTTAATGAAATTTTATAATATAATAAAATCTCCATTATGAATTAATTTGAACACAAAAGAAAATTGTTTACATAAGAAAATTTTTAAATAATAGAAAAATAAATATATAATTTAATACTTACAAAATGAATAAAAATTCATTTATTGCAAAAAAGAATATTATTCAATATTTTTAACAAAATTTAAAAAAAATTTGAATCCTAAATTTTTCTAAACTAAACTAAAATATTACATATATATCATATATAATAATAATATAATAATAATAATAATACATTTTGTTTTGTAATACATACATAAATAACATACATACATAAATACATACATAAATTTTACATAATAATACATAAATTTTGTTTTGTAAATATTTTAAAATTATATGCATCTTTGTTTATGATTGTATATGATTTGTTATATAAATTTGATAATAAATTTCATGCTATAAAAAAAACACTGTTTGTTTGTATATATGATAAGGAATAATATTCATATAAAAAAATATTCAGAATTCATATTAAATATTCACATACTAGATGTTTATATAATAAAGATTCTATTGAATTATAAATTTTATACAAATTCACATTTTTATAAAAATATTATATACATTATACATAATATTATACATTAAAAAAAATTTTTTCATAATAAAAAAAAAAATCTTCATAATTTTTATGAATAGTTATTAATTTTCTTTGTAATAATTTTTTTCTTTCTAATAAATTTTTATTTAAAAAATTAATGTGATTTAAAATATGTGATTTAAAATAAATGTGATTTCATTTAATCTTTTAAATGAAAATTTAAGTAAAATTATAAATATTATACTATTATATATTATACTATATAAAATTATATACTATATAAATTTATTTATTAATTTATCTATTGAAATTAATAATTACAAATTTCTAATTATTTTATTATTATTATTATTAACTTTAATATATTATATAGTTGTTTCATTGATAATCTTTAAATAAATATATATAAATTATATAGATTATATTATAAATTTATATAGATTATATTTTAAATTTTAATTAATTATTAATTTTAATTAATAATTGATATATATATGAAATATTGAATTCCTATTATATAGATTATTATATAGAAAGATTAATAGTTAATAACATGTAATAAAAAAGAAGAATACATAATTTATTATTATAATATTATATAATATTAATTACCTTATATTTTATACATATAAATTTCTATAATCTCAATTTCTATAATCTAATAATCTAAAATAAATATTAATAAATATAATCTAAAATAAAATTAATCAATATTAATTTAATA